GAGAGGACACAGGCCGCGCTGGGGGACCCCCCTCTCCCCGAGTGCACAAATTTTTGTGCACCGGGCCTCTAGTTGTTTAATAAAATGATATAGATTTCAAGTGTACAATTCTATAATCATTTGTATTTGTATTGTGTGTTCACCACTCAAAGTCAAGTCTCCTTCTGTCACCATTTATCTCCACTTTATCCTCTTCTACCTCCCCCACCCCTTTTCCCTCTGATAATCACCATACTGTTGTCTGTGTCTGAGGTTTTTGCTTGTTTTTTTTGTTTTATTTTTTTAGCCATAGATTTCTGGGGTTTTTTTGAAATATATTTTATTGATTTTTTACAGAGAGGAAGGGAGAGGGATAGAGAGTTAGAAACATCGATCAGCTGCCTCCTGCACACCTCCTACTGGGTCCCATTCAGAAAGTTTCACAGTCACTGGTCTAGAGGAACTGACCCACTGTTTGTGAGCTATGCTACATCTATGTACTCCTTGGAGTGAGAATAACCCATTAAGATAAATTCCTGGCCACTGTCATGGATAACTATTTATTGTTCCACATATTGTTCCACATATAATCATGTGTGCTAGAACAAACAAAACAACAGCTGTCACTGTACTAAAGTACATGTTATATCTCGGTTATGGTTCTTGAATAAGGTTCTTGGTTAATGTTATAATTCACCCAGGAAAAATACAGTGCATTCTATTTGTATGCTGTTACTTGCAGACTTTGGGAATAAATGTAATAGAAATTAATGGGGAATTTCAGTTCTCATTTACGAAATCTTCAGACTAGTAACAGTATTCTAAGGCTGGTGAGGTTATAGGGATTCTGGAGCCAGAAATGCTGGTTTTTTCCGTCAAGAACTAAATAGAGCCTGAGTCTCATTCTTTTAATCCTTGCAGTAAATTTAAGCCTATCCTAAGATATCCAATGTCATTTGCAATGGGTAAAATAATCCTTGACTTCCAGGAATGAAATAGTTGGAGAATCAGAAGAATATCACAAAGCGTGGCTGGCTGTAGAATTCTTGTGTTGGAGTGTTGGGAAAATAAATATTGTTACCTTTAATGGTTTTTCTTAAACCAAGGAAACCTAGCTTAATACTTAGTGACTTTGACTTAGAAATCCAGTGATAAATCTACTGCATTCTTTAAAAAAATATATATTTTTATTGATTTCAGAGAGGAAGGGAGAGAGAGAAACTTCAGTGATGAGAATCACTGATCAGCTGCCTCCTGCACCCCATACTGGTGACTGAGCCTGCAACCCAGGCATGTGCCCCAGGCATGTGCAGGAATCAAACTATGACCTCCTAGTTCATAGGTCCACACTCAACCACTGAACCATGCTGGCTGGGCCCTACTGCATTCTTATTATATAGCTCATGTGGAGAAACACACATTTTTAAAAATAATTTTAAAAAATATATTTTTATTGATTTCAGAGAGGGAAAGGGAGGGATAGAAAAATGAATGATGAGGAGAATCCTCCATTGGCTGCTTCCTACACACACCCTATGGGGGATCGAGCCTCCATCCCAGGTATGTGCCCTGACCAGGAATCAGACCATGACCTCCTGGTTCATGGGTTGCTCAACCACTGAGCCACAGAGGCTGGATGAGAAACACACATTTTTTAGTATTTAGTCTTTTAAAAAATTGTTTTAACTTTATTTTTATTGTTGACACTATTACAAATGTCTCCATTCTCCCTCCCCGACCCCTTTGCCCACATCCACCCTGCTCCCACCCCACCTTCCCTCTGGCCATCACCACACTATTGTCTGTGTCTATGGGTTACTGTGGGTTATGCATATATGTTCTTTGGCTAATCCCTTCGCCTTCTTACATCCAGTCACCACCCCCTCTCATCTGATGGCTGTGTCTGTTCCATATATCCATGCCTCTGTTTCTTTTTTTCATCCCCCCATAACCATTTATCCTCTCTATACTTCCTCTACCTCCATCCACCTCTTCTCCTCCTCTGCCCCGCCCACCAGGCAATCACCATACTGTTGTCCAAAGTCCATGAGTTCTTTCTTTTTTAGTATTTAATATTTGAAGTATGTAAAATGTGAAAATGACTATACTCTTTGACTAAGCACTATTCTGTAAAATTTTAATGTAACTAAAGAAGAAAACCAGCAATCTTCATAGGTATCTTTTATAGCATGCTATTTGCCAATATGAAACACCGGTACAATACTAAATATCCAACAATTGGGAAATGAGTCAATAATCTTACATCAATTTGAACTATTATGCTACTCTTTATAATTAGAAATTATATTTTAAATCCAATGTAGAAAAATGCCAAAAAGAAAAATGTAAACGTTTGATTATATTTTTAGTTTGCAATTTCTTATTTCTATGATTTGAAACTAGACATGTGACATATTCTGCACTAAGATGTCTATGTTGTCTTATAATTCACTTTCAATGAGGAAAACAGAACTCAGACTTCAGTTCTTCAACTGGGAGAGCTATTTAGTTTTATTCAGTTTCATTATATAATGGACTCTATAAAGCTTCTTAAATATTAGATATTAATTTTAAAAAGAACAAGCATCACAATGAGCCATGTAAATCATGTAACCATATAAAAGACAGATGAATGTGAACAGCAAAATCATTGGATGTGTACTCATTAAGATGTTAACATTGCTGACTGGTGGACATATAGGTGATTATTTTTTTCTCCTTTTACTTTTACATTAAAACTTGTTTTATAATTAATATATTTTTATCATGAGATAAAAGTAAACATTCTTAAAGGAGGTTTGAATGATGCTGGTGACTAGACTGCCTTGTTATAGTGAGAATAGGTAATCATTCAATTTCGCTTCAAAGTCTGGATTTAAGAAGGATGGAATTAAATATATAACTTCATATCCTTATTCTCCTCGGTCATTTAGTGTTTCTTATTAATCAAATTCAGTCTTTGTTGTTTCCCATTCATTATTATGACTTTATCACAATTATGATTTTACGTGCTTAGAGTGGAAAATTAGTTGAGCAGGTTTATGAGATGTTATGAGAAACTTAAAGAGTAGTCAAATGAAAAAAAAAAAAAGATTAGTCAAATGAAACATCTGAAAGTCCTCCCCACTAGCTCATTCCTGAACTGAGGGTTACAGCAGGCTATGCTGAGGATCCCTCCAGGCTGGCTTTGCAGGACACTGTGGTTGGAAGAAATGGGAAAGGTGGTGGGTTAATATAACACAGTAATTTATACAACTGGAAAAAAAAAAAAAACACGTCTTGAAGGTAGGAAAAGCTGATCTGTTTTGGATTTTATTTCTCTTCTAACGTGTCTGTTACACACAGGGGTGGGCAAAAGTAGCGTTATAGCTATTCGTATGGACAATCCAGTAATTAATAAATAATAACAAAGAATAAACTGTGTTTCGCATACTCACAACTATAAACCTACTTTTGCCCACCCTGTATTTTCTTCTTTTTAAACTTTATCCAATATCTAGAACACAAGCAAGATAGCCTTAAAAGGAGCAGGTAATTATTTCCTTACAAGTCTCTAGGACAATGGTTCTCAACCTTGGCTGCACATTAGAATCACCTGGGAATCTTTTAAAATATATTTTATTGATTTTTTAGAGAAAGGGAGAGGGAAAGATGGAAACATCAATGAGGAGAGAGAATCATGGATCGGCTGCCTCCTGCACGTCCCACACTGATGTGCAGCTAAGGTTGAGAACCACTGCACTAACCCCTATAAAAGTGGCGTTGGCTCAGGTGCTATCATTTAGAAGGCAGAGCCCCTCCTTTCCCCGTACACCCCGTTATCCAGTCATGCTGGAGCTTCACTGTAGGAGGCCTGCCTTTCATCAAGGTAACAGATGGCAGGGCTGGGCAGGCGTATCTGGCAAGAATTATAAGTTCCATTAAGAAGTAATTTAAAAATGGCCGAAACTGGTTTGGCTCAGTGGATAGAGCGTCGGCCTGCAGACTGAAAGGTCCCAGGTTCGATTCCAGTCAAGGGCATGTACTTGGGTTGCGGGCACATCCCCAGTAGGAGATGTGCAGGAGGCAGCTGATCGATGTTTCTCTCTAATCGATGTTTCTAACTCTCTCTCTCCCTTCTTCTCTGTAAAAAACCAATAAATAATATATAAAAAATTAAAAAAAAAAATTAAAATGGTCCTGAAATTTCTTCAGTTGGGTTCCTGCCTACATGAAGGGCTGATCCTGAAATTAGGAGTTTATAGGATCAATAAGCTGCATTGCTGGGCTCAGTTCCCTCGTCAGATAGGAACTTATTGAGGACATAGGAAATCTGATTCTTAAGAGAAGATATTTGGACTATGGCAGTGTGTCTCACCAAAAAAGCATGTAATATTCTTCACTGCTGGAGTGACTCATACTGTCTTCTCTTGAGTCATTGCATTTTGCATGAGTTAGCCATAAAAATCTTTTAGTTCAAATATAACAGCAGCTAGATCTATAGTTTTGTTCTCCCAGCATTCTTTGTTATCCTTCTTCTTCTGGTTTCTACCTCCTGCTCTGCTTTCCCTTTAATTTCTCCCTTTAATTCAGGAGACCTTAGGGGGTATATTCAATTACAAGATCAGGACGTGATCCAGTTCTAGCCAGTCTGAGTATACTGGCTCCCTGGCCATAGTGATTGGTTTAGCAAAAGTCATGTGATCCAAGCAGGACCAATCAAAGTCTTCCGTGGGAACTTTCAGCTGGGCTAAAATGGAAAGCTGCTTTAAAAAAAAACTGTTTAAGGTGGGGGTTGGGAGGCTGGGTGTTAAAGGCACAGGGATTAAGAAGTTCCAATTGGTAGTTAGAAAATAGTCATGAGTTGCAAACTACAGTATAGTCAGTAATATTGCAAGGACTAAGTATGGTGCCAGGATCATGTTATACATTATGTGATTGTCTAACCACTATGCTGTACACCTGAAACTAATATAAAATAAAATAATATGAATGTCACCTGTACTTGAAAAATAAAATTTAAAAAAAGTATAAATTTTTTAAACATTTGCAAAAGCAGTGAGAATTATATGTAAACCCCTTGTACCCAACACCCAGCTTCAACATTTATCAACTCAGGAACAATCTTGAAAAAGGGTAAACTGTCTTTTTCTACTGGGGCTGTTGGACCTAAGAGGACAGTGCTTCTAACAGACATGATGTCTGTCAGTGACTGCTGCCCCTGTACTGATTTTGCTTAAGCAAAATGTAGGAGGATTTCTCTCACTTGCAAATGTGCTGTCTAATATAAAAATCTTAACGAAACACTCAGTAAATAATTTTTTAAGCCTTATGCTTACTTTTGAGGTATCTGGGAAACAGAAATTCATGAAAAAATCTTTGAGAGGAATAAGGAGAAGGGGAGCTCTGCGACATATTAAAACAAACAAGATCCCCAGCGTTTTAACTTCACTTGGCCAAAGGATCATTTCAGTCTTATTGAAATAGCAGCTATCTACTAAAATATTTAAACTACATAACATAAATATTAAGAGGTATAACGCAGGGTGGATATTTTCACCCTTAAAAAACTGATCAAGTCCTCAAACCCATTCAGAGTCTGATTCTGAATTATCTTCAAAGCAATGAATGAATGGATACAGTTGCTCTTACAATAGCATTCTGGTATGCCATTCTTGGGTATGTAATGAACTATATTCCTAGCTGTTCCTTAGGACAATACTTACATTTTTGCTTTGCTAGTTCTTGTCTTAGATCTTCATACACTTGTGAAAAGAGGTCCTCTTTAGATTTTGTTCCATCCAGGTAAACTGAAAAGGGAAAAAGAGACAAGTCAAATGCTAACACGCTTATTAAGATAGCATGCTTACTCTGGCACCTGATAGCTCTTGAAAATACTAGTAGGTTTAACCAAAAAACCCAGGACCATAAAATAAAAATGAATGAATAGCCATTAGAGAGTGAAGCACATTATAGTCAGAAATAACAGGTAAAATTTTTTGGTTAATTACAGAGAAATGCACACTAGTTAATAAGAACATTTTTACTTTTTTAAAAAAAATGGAAGAAAAAGAAAGGAAAATAATTAAATGGCATTGTGTATGGCATTTTAGGAGGACTGAAGAGGTGTGTCCCTGAAAGAATCATGTAAGGGAGTAGTTATCCCACTTACTGATGCATCAAGATTATCTGTGAAGCTTCTTTTTAAAAAAAATATATATTTTATTGATTTTTTACAGAGAGGAAGGGAGAGAGATAGAGAGTTAGAAACATCGATGAGAGAGAAACATCGATCAGCTGCCCGCCGCATACCTCCCACTGGGGATGTGCCCACAACCAAGGTACATGCCCTTGACCGGAATCGAACCCAGGACCCTTCAGTCCACAGGCTGACGCTCTATCCACTGAGCCAAACCAGTTATGGCTCTGTGAAGCTTCTTAAACCATGTAGGGGTCTGGGCTGCCCACATATACACTCAATAAGAATTCTTCAGGCCCAAAGGTATGTATTTTAAACACACACACACACACACACACACACACACACACACACACTCTAGTGGCCCGGTGCATGAAATTCGTGCATGGGGGGTGTCCCTCAGCCTGGCCTAGATCCTCTCCAATCTGGGGCCCCTTGGAGGATGCCTGACTGCCGGTTTAGGCCCGATCCTACAGGGCTCAATCAACAGTGGAAGGCATGCAGACATCCCTCTCGCAATCCGGGACCACTGGCTCCTAACCGCTCACTTGCCTGCCTGTCTGATCGCCCCTAACCACTCTGCCTGCTGGCCTGTTCGCCCCCAACTGCTCCCCTTTGCTGGCCTGCTCGCCCCCAACTGCCCTCCCCAGCTGGTCTCCCGGAAGGTCTCCTGGTCTAATTAGCATATTACCCTTTTATTAGTGTGAGAGAGTAAGGCAGAGATAGAAACATCAATGATGAGAGAGAATCATTGATCAGTTGCCTCCTGCATGCCCTCCACTATTGATTGAGCCCGCAACCCAGATATGTGCTCTGACCAGGAATCAGCTGTGACCTCCTTGTTCATAGATCAATGCTCACCCACTGAGCCGCTCCAGCCAGGCCCAGAAAATACATATTTTTAATAAAACTGTCATAGTAAGTCTTGGAGAATAAGTAGAAGTTATGTATGTTAAAGGAAGGAAAAGGCCTTCTAGTCAGAAACCTGCAGAGGTAGGAGGTAGGAGAGAATTCTGCCTGTTAATAAGATGCACCATTAGGAAAACCTAGAATGTGGGGAGGCAGAAACAGTGGAGAGAGGAGGTTTTGGTTGTGGAGCAAGGCTGTGCCTTTGTCTTTAGAGGCCTCGATGTCTGGTTGTGTGAGGGTTTTACCGGAGAGCTGGAGACTATGAAGATATCAAGCAAGGCAGGACATAGTTAGATTTGCGTTTTAGATGGAGAGGGAGAGAGGAACAGTGAGAAGAGGAAGTGTTGTGGCTAGAACCCCCGCAGTGGCTCTGTGGATGGGGAGAAGGGGTTGAACTTGACTGAAGAGGCCACGGAGCTTTTCCCAATATGGGCAACTCCCTCCATTCTGAAAAGTGTGCATCAGTCCTGCTGCTTCTGCTCCAACCAAGAGCCTTCTCTCTCAGCTTCCTGTAGTTTCTCTGTGTTGAGCCCTGTATTCCAGAGGTCTGTTCAGAGTCTGGGCTCACAGATCCAGATGTTTACCCCCAACTCACCACTTTATGTCTCTCAGGCATCTTAACTTATGCCAAACAGACTTGCATTCTTACCTTCCAAACCTGCAACTCCTTCACTTTTTTCTCCTTTCCGAAACAGTACCTGCCAGGTTCCAAGGTATTGTCCTTGACACCTTGATTTCCAGGACCCACCCTATCTATACTACCATCCAGTTCTATTGAGCACATATGCCCAATATTGCATCCTCTACACCCACCCTCCACATAGCCAGAGAGAGCTTACAAGAATCTGATATCTAACATGTCCTCGTTCAAACCTGTCTGTAGAGGGCTTCCTACTTTTATTGAGATAATGACCCAAGCCCTTCACTGGCCTATATAGCCTTGTAGGGTTAGGATCGTTCCTGTATTACCAGCAGCGCTCCTTGTCCTTGGTTTTCTCTCCACAAATATACCCTCTCCACTTCTTCCGGATGCTGATCATTTCTTCCTGCCCCCTAGCCTTTCTATGTATCACCCACTGGGGTGATCTTCCATCCCAACACTCTTCCCTTTCTCCAGTTAACCCTGTCAGTTGACATGTGGCTGGATCACTGGGACTTAGGCAAGTGCCCTAAGAGCTCGCTGTCACAGTTCTCAGCACAGCTGGAAAGGACATGCTCATGTAGCTAGTTTAACGTTTGCTTCAATAGTAGAATGTCGGCTCATAAGAGTATGGACTGGATCTGCCTTATTTCCCTTGATATATGTCACCAGTTCAATATCTGTACATTGAAACCATTCCATCCATATTTATTGAACAAATGACCACCTAGAAGTTGACAAGCTATCCACAAGAGCCATAGAGAGACAAGCAGAAGCCAGGAGAGCCTGTTGTGGAAGACGGGAGCCCAGAGTGCTACAGCTTACAGTTTCCTTTATAATATAACATACATAAG